GCAAGCGCGGGAGCTCCCGCCAACGATTGCCCAAGCTCTGGGGTCCTCTGTTAAGGTTTTTTTAGTAGTGGGTTCTAGATTTGAAGCTTTTGCGTGACTGCAAGGATTCATACTCTTTGGTTTTTCGGTAAAGTCACGTAGGGAAAACAATAAAATAAATAAATGAAAACTAACATTTATTTTATTGATGTTTTTACCTACGTGACTTTACCAAAAAAAACAAAGAGTATAAACTAATGAGTGTTTAAACACGCGGTAATGTGAGGAGGGAAGAAACCGGAGCCCCCGGAGAAAGCCCACGCGTGCGAGGGGGAAGCGCTCGATCCGCCAGGGAGTTGGCGTGTTGCCCTACAGCGCCTCCTCCTGGCGAGCCAGCGTCACCGCGGCTCCTCCGCTCCCACGGGAAGCGAGTTCACGACGTCTGCGCGGTGATCCACCAACCTTCGCTGCCTCCAGTGCGGGATTGCAGGCCGCCACGTGCATCGCCACCACCACCACCACCACGTGCATCGCACCACCACCACCACCACGTACATCGCCCCACCACCACGTGCATCGCCACCACCACTACCACGTGCATCGCCACCACCACCACCACCACGTGCATCGCCACCACCACCACCACCACGTGCATCACCACCACCACTACGTGCATCGCCACCACCACCATCACGTGCATCGACACCACCACCAACCACCACGTGCATCGCCACCACCACCACCACCACGTGCATCGCCACCCCCACCACCACGTGCATCGCCACCACCACACCACGTGCATCACCACCACCACCACCACGTGCATCGCCACACCACCACGTGCATCGCCACCACCACCACCACGTGCATCGCCACCACCACCACCACGTGCACCGCCACCACCACCACACCACCACGTGCATCGCCACCACCACCACCACGTGCACCGCCACCACCACCACCACGTGCATCGCCACCACCACCACCACCACGTGCATCGCCACCACCACCACCACGTGCATCGCCACCACACCACCACCACGTGCATCGCCACCACCACCACGTGCATCGCCACCACCACCACCACCACGTGCATCGCCACCACCACCACCACGTGCACCGCCACCACCACCACCACGTGCATCGCCACCACCACCACCACCACGTGCATCGCCACCACCACCACCACCACGTGCATCGCCACCACCACGTGCATCGCCACCACCACCACCACCACCACGTGCATCGCCACCACCACCACCACCACGTGCACCGCCACCACCACCACCACGTGCATCGCCACCACCACCACCACCACGTGCATCGCCACCACCACCACACGTGCATCGCCACCACCACGTGCATCGCCACCACCACCACCACGTGCATCGCCACCACCACCACCACGTGCATCGCCACCACCACCACCACGTGCATCGAGTGCTGCATTTGTGGGGGTGTAGTCTCTGCAGAATCTCTCTCGTCAGTAAAAAAACATCACGGGGTCCTTTTCAAGAGGGCACTGCCCGGGTGTTTGGCGAATTCCCATGAATGGCTTCCACGAGGGAGGTGACTTGTTTAGCAACCCACGCACGTGACAGGATGACACCGGCAGCTCCATACAGATGGATTCAGTGAACGTGTAGACGCAACGCAGTGAGTGGACCCACTGCTGCTGGACTGGCAAGCTGGCGTGACCCTGCAGGAGATTCCTGGGGCTGCAACACGTCTGGCTTGCCCTGGTGGTCACGCTCAACTCAAACTAAACTGTTCTGTGGGTCTGTCGGTAAAGCCACGTAGCTATAAACGTCGTGATGTTTTTACTATTGTTCTGTCTACGTGGCTTCACCGAAACAGCCACAGAACGTGTGTTCCTGCAGTCACGAACGCTTCAGGTCAAGATCTAAAACTGAACTGTCTCCAGCTCAGGGCCGCGCCGAGGTGTGGCGTTGTTTCAGAAGCGACTTGGGCATCGCAAACGAAGTGGCGGCTGTATCATCATCCCTCATCATCAATCATCATCGACTTTTCATCCATCATCATCCATCATCATCCTAAGCGTCATCATCCTCCATCATCATCATTATCATCATCCATCAGCATCATCATCCATCACTCCATCATCATCATCATCATTATCATCATCCTCATCATCCATCATCCTCCATCAGCATCATCATCCATCGTCATCCATCCATCTCCATCATCATCATCATCATCATCATCATCCATCATCGTCATCATCCTCCATCAGCATCATCATCATCATCCATCATCATCATCGTGTGGGAAGTTCCAGCAGCACATACTCTCACACGCATGTTTTGAAATCTGGAGGAGAAAAATCCCAGAGGACCCGGAGAAGATCCACACGACCACGGGGAGAGAGACACGCAAACTCCAAATACACAGCAGCAGCAGGCGTCGTCAGGGTTGTAAGAGGACCCACGACCTCCTGTAGACCAACTCAGACCTTATTGCTCACCCCATGCCCTTATACACCCCACGTCCACCTACAAAGCCCCAACAAGGGAGCAACACGCACATTTCTACACATTTATTCTTATTTTTGGCCGTATTATAAACGGCTGTACGCAGTATGGACCTGAAAACTCGATTTCCCTGTACAGGATAAGGGTAAACCGCATGGGTTTACAGGTTTGGTAAAGTAGTGTAGTGTGGGCTCTTACCTGGGAAGATTAAACAAAATAGTTTAGTTTTATTTGTGTACATTTTTTAAAGTGATTTGCTTACATTTCCTATACTTTGCACTCGTTTCGTGTTTTTTTGTATTGTGTGTTGTTGTAACGTTCTGATCACGTGCCTCCCCTAACTAAACATTTGTGGAAAAAAAGCTTCATAGCTCATCGGATTCATGCGGATAAATCGATTTGCCGACTCTGATCAATTGTAAATTTTCACTGGCAAATCACCGCGGTCCCGGGACTTTGTCATAATGAGTGTATTCACAGTGGTCCCTGTGCGCTGTTCGTCGCGGTCTCTGGTTGTTTTTCCACTTCGCTGCGGTCCCCACCACGCCCGGGCTGCGTTCACCGCGGTCCCTGACTGAGGGCTGAGATCCTGGTGGAGATCGGGCAGCAAGGAGGCCAGAACGGTGAGTGGTGGTGGTGGTGAGTGGTGAGTGTGGT